GTTTCGAAAAGGATTTAGTACGATGGACCACATCCACACGATAACATGACTCATTGAAGTATCGCGAGAGTTCAAAAGACCACTCTGTCTCGCTTTCATTGTTTTACAGGAAGCCTTTGATTCAATTGGTATAGAAGCAGTCATGGAAGCCCTTGATAGTGAAGGAGGTCCTACTCAGCACATAAAGGTTATTCGTGAGCTGTACAATAATTTCACAACTAAGGTGTCGCATTCGACAACGATATTAACATTGACGTCAAAAGAGGAGCTAGGTAAGGCGATACCATCTCGTCTAAATTATTTCCCGCCACCATCTAGAATGTCATGCGAACTTTGGAATGGAATAATATGGGAGTGAAAATCGACGGTCGGTAGTTACGCCATCTTCGCTTTGCTGATGACATTGTCCTCACAATACCAAACATTATAAGCCAAACGTACTGTGGGAATGCCACCAACCCGACGGATCAGAGGTCGATGGAAAAGTTGTATTTTCCTAGTGCAATTCCAATAACAGTCGGACAGAGTCTTTATGTAGGACGGCTCCACTCCTTGGTCGACTAGCGCTGATAGGATTGCATTCGCTTCGACACTGTCAAACACTTTCTCGTAGTCAACGAAGGTTAGTACTAGAGGCAAGTAGTATTCCCGGCAAACTTCGATGACTCTAGACACGGTTTGGATGTGGTCCATACAGCAGAATTTTTTTTTCGAAATCCTGCTTGCTCGACTGGTTGCACCTCTTCCAATGTCCTTGATTAACGCGAGAGGATAATCTTCGTGAAAGGCTTGTAGAGTACACTTAACAAGTATACCTGACGATAGTTACGAAGACCCCTTAGGTCTCCTTTCATGGGCAAGATGACCGTTCGCGACGTCCTCCAATGGTCTGGGAATTTTTCCTTTTGAAGGTAGCCTTTCATATGATCTGCGAGAAGTACATGTAAATTGTGGCCTCCAGCTCTAAGGAAGTAGGCCTCGGGTCCTGGAGCTGTGCCTCTTTTCATGCTTACTATCGCAACTCGAACCTCCGACGAAAGAATTCCAGATGGTTATTCTCCTGCGGGGATTTTATATTCTGGGACGGAGATTGTGGAGCGAAAAACGTTGGTGTAGAATGTTTCTTCTATTAATTCCATATTATCACGGGAAGTTTTGACGATTCCATCTTCGTTCATCAAAGCTGACAGCGGAGCATTATAATCACACAAGTCGCGACGGCATTTTTCCAGACTGCTTTTTTTCTCTGCTGCTTCCAGTATTTTTTTTGCTTGTACCGTTGTATATCTTCCTGTAAAGCTCTTCTGCAGCTAGCACTTATTACCAGCCATGTTAAACGTGTTGCATAGGATCAAGCTCCAGTTTCCTTTTCTTTTCGAGGAACTCCTTAGTAGTGACGGAGATGCGATCCGATCTTCTCGCTTGAGGAACTGAGGCGAATTCGGCAGATCTTTTCAGTCCTTCGACAAGCAGCTCGTAGTCTTCGGTTGGGTCTTCTTTAATCTGGCAGTCACATTTGGACAGGACTTTGTTTGGAATCTTCTCGTCGTATGCAGCTAGACTTTTTTCGTGCTTGATGAAGAGAGTTCTTTTCCAGCTTGCGGCTGAATCGAATCTTCGTGCGAAGAAGGCGGTGATCGGAACCAGTTCAGAATGACGGGGCTATCGATGTGTCAAGTAGGTACCATCTTCTATTTGTGAGGATATAATCGATCTCCGCATCAGTCATGCCGTTGGGAGACTCCCATGTCCAGCGGAGGCTTTCTTTCTTCTGGAAGAACGAGTTCCCATGATAGAGACGTGCTGCTGCCAAGGGTCCTGCGAGACGGTTCTCATTTTTATTTGTTTCTCCTAATCCAAAATTTCAGATACTGTATTCGCTCTCGTTGGCCTTTCCTATTCTGGGGTTGAAGACTCCAACAACAAATTTATGATATGCTTTATCATTGCGGGTGACCTTCTCCAACTGATAGTAGAGCGCATTTAATTCCTTCTCATCAGCTACGTCGGTCGGTGAGTAGCAGTTGATGATAGTGATCTTCTTATGATGGAAGAGTTGAAGACGGGGGACTGCTATGCAAGGGGAAAGGATCACGTATGAGTCGACGAGGTGGACAATGGACGGGTGGGCGACAAAGTCTACGCCACCGACATTTCGTGACGGGACCTTTTTCCCACGGATCACAAGGGTCCCGTTGTTTAGTTGGTGTATGTCGGTTTTCTTAATTTTTGTTTCTTGTAATGCAATCAAATGGAATTTAATGCGATCTGCGGCTACAAGAAGGGCGTAAAGATCGGCGTCCGTGGAGAGTGTTCTGGCACTACACGTGCATAGTAAGAAACAATCTCAATGGCGTGTCGAGCGTGTGCTCGTCAGATCCGCTTCCAATGACGTTCTGCGTAACCCGAGATTTTCTGGCCTCTCACCGGTCGTCTCACCGCCTGACGTCATTGACGGGAGCACCCAGTGTGTGAAGTACTGAGACTGGCCTATTGCCGGTCGTGCAACTTGGTCCTCTCTGGAGTTCTGACGTAGCCTTGCAAGGGCGTATCCAGGTCTTCACCGCGACGTGGATCAGAGGGAGGTGTGCTTCGGCAACGAATTCTTCGTTCGGTCTTCATACTAATAAACGATGACAGCTGATGAATAATTACGACAATGATAATAATTTTTTTGCATTTTTTACATGACTTGCAATCACACCCTCTGTGCGGATCTTAGCACTTCCTGCATTTGATTCGTTTTCTTCGCACTCGTCGGCCACAGTGGTCTTCGATTTCGCGCGTTGGTTCGGCTGCTACTGAAGGATTTCGTCTTCCTTTCGGTGAATGTCAGGGAATACAGGTTAAGTAAGTTTTTCTTCCAGTATTGGAGATAACCAGGCTAAGGCGTTTCCATGTGGAGCGGAGAAGAGTGTTGAGGAGGTGGTCGTTATAGGATTTGCTTCCTGATCGATCTAACCACTACGCAATCCTCCGCCGTAATGAAATTATAGTGGTAATAAAAGTGACAACAGCGATGATAAGTCAAAACAATGACGACGTTGATAATAATAATTGGTAATAATAATAATAATAATAATAATAATAATAATAACAAGTTACTTTGCTAGATGCCAATAAATACCGATCATTTCAACCACAACGAGACCGAGATATTTGCAAAACTCCGGACCGCCGGTGTCTGTGGTGGGGTCGAACACGCTATTGCCTTTTGCTTTTGCAGGCGCTAACGCGTTCACCAGCACGCTATGTGCATACTTCGTTTCTTATTTCTCTCGGCTATGTTTGAACCTATCAATCACCCGTCAATGGAGTTGATATGGGAAGCACAAATCGTCATTGAACGTAGCTAAGTTGAAGGTGTAGTATAAGTCACAAAGTAGTCGACGGGTGATTGATTGGTGGTAGTACTTAAAGGTGAAATGTGCACGAGAGAAAGGCGAAACGAAGGACGCGCATGGTGTGGTGGTGAACGTGCTAGCTCCTGGAAAGGGTGACATCGTGTTCAATCTCCACTGGAGATACCTGCGGTCCGGAGTTTTTAAATATTTCAGGGTCATTACAGTTATATTTCACATCATAGCTTGCCAACAAAAAAGAATAGCCAGTAAATAAGATATAATTACTGCCGACTTTGTTTCGAATTTCGGTGACTGAAATTGTACGGCGACTCTGTTTATATGTGTGAGAATTGCGACTGTTCGATCGAATACTCGAACATTCGAGAGCAATAGCACTTCACAAGGCAGCTCGATTCGTTGCCATTCAACGCTATCGCCGTTGGCCAGTGCGATTTGCGTCATTTACCATCTTTTGCCGAAAGAAGAAAATGTTTCCGTGACACGGCACACCAGCCGGTTTTTTCCAAGCGGTTTTTAACTACACTGAAGGCTTCGTATAGTTCTATTGCTCGTCTCTCCTCAATTTCTCCTTCAATTTCATTCTCTTCCTTCCTCTCTTGATTGTTATTACGCCGTAGTTATTGTTCACTTTTTCTTGTACCTTATCGACTTTCTTATCTATTAAGCTTATGGTCCTCCGAATTATTCAATGGACCATCCTCCCTCAAAAAGAGCATCACGCCACCTGATACGATGCCGCTTTCTTTAGTACTCCTGACTTCAGTCAAACTAAACGTCGCTCGCCGTGTCCTACAATGCCACTGGCTTACTCTTAGTTGACTGCCCCATGGAATTGTCAAACGCCTTTAACTTGACGACGATGCTGGAAGTATGAACCTCCCGTTTTAGATCACTGTTCGATACTTAAGAACCCTTTCTACCTCGATGAGGCAGTAAACCACCGAAGCGATTCTCTTGTAGCTATCAAAACAATTTTTCATAATACATTAATACCAAGAGTGTCATATGTTTGGCAAAAGCTTTCCGAAATATTGTGTAGTTTATACGAGGTACTAATTTTAGTTATGTTTTCTTTTATTCCATAATCCTTCATTCTTCTTGTTGCACCTGAAAACAAATAGAATAATGTATTCAAATCTCTAAAATAATCAGCAGTTTCCTCCCTTGTTGGGAAGTGGTGCTTACCTGATTATCTGGAAACTTCATAAACCACCACGATTGACTCTTATGGCCCCCATTAATTTAACATTTCAATCCAGGAAGCCATATGCACCTTAGCTAGATGCAGATTCATATACTATCCTTCATCGGATAGCGTTGGGCGAGTGGTGTTTAGCAAAGATTCTCCATAAATGTGTTTAAATTCTTGCCTAAAATAAAAAATACTAGTTCTATGGATATGTTGTTGAGAAACTCATACCTTTTCTTAACGCAACGCTATGAACTGCTCCGAATATGGTTCCGCTTTGTGTGCATTAGTAAAAATAGAGAAAAAATTTCCTACAACTGGTTCATTTTTTTCAGACTTTTCGTACTATTGTATCCCTTTTTATCCCATACTATACAGCTTTTAGAACAGTTGATCGCCTACCTTTTGATCATCCTACGTTTGCATTACTCATTTACAGCACTCCAATGACAGCAGAGGTACGACGTGATTCCTTCAAGACGTTCTGGGATAAGTACTCTGGCAAACCGGACACGAACACTATGATGCTTAATAACACCTCCGACGAACTTGACGCCAGTGACAGGTATATGGTATCTCCGACAAAAATCTAGTTGACATCGGCTACGCTTGAACTGGTGACCGTGCATTTGAGCAGAAAAAAAGAACAGAAAATCGTTCTCTATGATCGTTAGACAAAATAAGTGTATCTGATAGCTCGATCGATAAGTGGTTTCTATGGCACGACATTTTGTAATTATAAACATTAGAATGCAAGATCAAGCATGTAGTTAAAAGTACAAGAGCTTCTGATTTCGAGAACTACTGCAAGATTCGAGCCCGACTCCTTTCGTAGGCCAAAATAAGCAATAAGACTGTCAATATAAGAAATTTTCTTATGCTTAAAAACTTCGCCTAATGTTTAACGCCTCATGTTCGTTGAGAAATTTCTTCAATGTCAAACTGCGGTACGGAGTTCACTTACCAGTACACACGGTGTTCGACAATTCTTCCCAGTGGCCTAGCTAAGGGCAGTGCTATCGTAGCTGTGCTAACGGAAAGATCTTGTTGAAGGCAAAGCACTGTTATGTTTCTTAAAATATTTGGACTACTTCGCCTTCCTCATCTTTCTAGCCCGAAAATAAATATCCACACTACTTATTCACAACGTCGGCACTTTTTATTTACTGCCTACTCTATTATAATGACTTGATATTATGTGAAATGTAACCAAAATGATGCTGAGATATGTGCAAAACTCCGCAACACTGATGTTTGCGGAGTGGACCGAACACACTATTACCCTTTTCAGGGCTAATGCGTTCACCACCACTCCAGTAAGGGCGAAACGAAGGACTCGCATGGTCTGGTGGTGAAAGCATTAGCTCCCGGAAAGGGTAATATCATGTTCACTACACCAACCGCAGACACCAGCTGTCCGGAGTTTCGCAAATATCTCAGCACCATTGTGATTATATTTGACATAGTACTCTGCCATTAAAGAAGTGCAGGCAGTAAGTAAAAAAAGTGACGATATTGTGTTTTATACCACAGGTTCAGCTTAACTGGGTCCAATGCCGATTTGTGCTCCCTAGATCAATCCCGTTGACAGGTGAATGCTGATAGCACCTATAGGTCTACTTATACAATGCTTATTAATTTCACCATTTTTTCCAAATTATAAAGACGTAAGTATTTCAGAGCAGATATCCTCTCCAGTCTTCCACTTCTCACAAACAAGGACGTTCTCGAGATTGGCGCAGGAATTGGGTACTTTACTTTGACCTGTCTCTCTCTCTCTCATTTTTCTATAGTTTTTATATAGTCCATCATCGTGTCACCAAATTCTGTAGTGTCTATTCATCTATCCCTTCAGTTATATCTATAAGTAGGTAAAAAAGCAGAATAGACAAGGCATAAACTAATCACCTGAATTTCTTTTGCCCCCAACGATGTTAAACTGACCCAAGCGTTAGCTCATCTGCCGCGTATCGAGTTTCCTATCGCACTTTACTTGCTTGAGGTTACGAAGAACGTCACATTCCCTCTGAAATCGTTATGAAGAAATTTGAGCCTTAGATCGGTGAACTACGGCTGCGAATTCGACCTTCGGTGGGATATAGTCACCGCACCGAACTGATTTTCGATATTCTAACCCATGTGACAGCATCGCTAATGTTTAATCATCGATGTCGATTAGAGATTTGAGTCTCCTCTCCCACATACGTGGTACAGCAGACATTTCGCATTACTAATCTGGTCGCCTGTTTGATAACGGGTTGTGATCTTTCACCCGCGTTCGAAGTTTCGTATTTTCCAAAGGATGCGTTAAGACCATAATCAATGTGCGGAAAATGCGAGCCACAGAGTCGGTCGCCCGTTATTTATCTCTTCTTGATATCTTGGTTATACTGGTAACCTCAACAAGCTTCCACTTTTTTTGCCCACCTCCGTAGGTAAGTCGTTAGTCACACTGGATTTCTTAATCAGTAACACGTGGCTGGAGCATTCGAAGTTTTTCATTCCATCGGAAATGATGGAAACAACAGAAACGAATCCGTTTCCAATGAAAATCGTTTACTTTAGACAATGTTTCTCTATTATAGGGAGATAGTATAGTTTTCTGCCATTGACTTTCAATTTCACGTTGTCCTAATCAACTTTTCATATCTTGGAGACCAGCTTCTGCTTCCTTTAATTATGCCGATGGTGAAGTTGCTGTAGAAGAGTGAAGTTTTGATGATGCCGTTGCGATATAAATTATAAAAATTATGAATGCTGATCAACAGCATCCTTCCGGTCTGGACCTTCAATGAGCGTTTTGTTTGCATTTAGTCGAAAAATTTCTCTAAGTTGAAGTAACACATCTATATTCTCTTCTTAATTTAGTGCTCTTCATTGTTATGTGGATATGAATTACCCCGCTGAAAGCGTATCGCACCTGTGCTCGTTTTCATGGCTGTATTTCGTGCTGTACTGTCATCATGTAAAGGATGGCTCAAAGAACTTGTAGAAGGCGAACAACATGAAATTATCCGATAAAGCATAACGCGTTAAGGGCTGGTCAACCCTTTAAGGATGAGCAATGAATTGTATTCACATTTGACCTCTGTAATTTTTTGCGACGATCTTCCGATGAATAAAGTGATTTTGCTCTCTCAGACAAACCGAGTATCATTTGTCAAACCGTGAAGAGTGACGTGCTAGTTCTCCGCGTGACAGCGAATTGGATCAATGATCATATCTCTATACAGCACTGTCACACTTGTGATCGGGCAATAGTGTCCTTTATTATCATTTTGAAAATAAGCCGACAATCGCCAAAGTGCGCCAATTTTCATGTTTCTAACTCTTCACCTCTCTTCGTCTTACTCCATCTCATTGTGTAGTTGATGGGAAGACGGAGAGTGAGATCTCCGTCAGAAAGCATAGCCTACGACTCTACGTCCCTGCAGAGTTCGGTGGACAACTCATGACTGTGTTCTTTGGATAAATAAAAAAAAGGCGTCATACAAAACCTCGTGATGCTCTTTGTAATCCACAGGCGATCAGAGCCCATTAGCTAGCTTTAGGATACGACTTGGAACAGTTTCAAACTTTTTTGGCACCTAATCAAGTTATTCGATCTTTAATGGAATGTTAGGCAATGGTATCTAATAGCCGTTACACTAGGGTTCTTTTTATGATGAGGCTGTAAACTTTTGTTTTCTATTGATAATTGTTGTATATCCGCACTCCGTAGGATTTTTGGTGTAGATAAGTTTATTCATCTACTAAAATTTTATACTATGGAAATAGTAGAATATTGACGAATGTTACTAGGTCAGAAGATTTTCTTCAAAATAAAAAGACAATAAGGTAGCATTCAGGCGTTTCACGACGGCACTTGCCGAAACCGCCAAGTGGGTGCACTCAACGGATTTCATCGAGTCGTTCATCGCAAAGAATAAGGAGCGAAACGCCCATCTGAGAAATATTAGCTATCAAATCAGTGACGCTGCCAACTTTCAAATGGAAGATGGAAGGTGGAAATTTCTAGAAATCTCCTATAGACAACAGCTGAAAATAATTTAGTGTTTACATGTAACTTTCACATCAGTTATTTTTTTTAACTTCCTGATTTAAACTTCTTTCTGAAGTAGTACTTAATATTATGTACTGCACGGTAAAGATCTCTCATAGTAATATGGTAGGTAGCTTTCTAAAGAATAAAACTGGCCTTGTACGGCCCATTCAAAGAAAAGCTCACATCGTTGATCACTTAGGTTTATAACAATAATTTCAAATCCGGCCGCTATTAGTAGGCCTTGATTATGTAACGTGTAAGTGGATAGTGCGTGTAGCACAGTGTTCAAAGAAGGTCTTTAGTTCACACTGGATCGGTCTCTTGTCCGACAGTATATCCAAGGCTCACTAAGCTTCCCATCCCTTTAGGTTGGGAAAATTTGTGATAGAGTTCTCTGCGAGGGCAGAAAAAACTACCTTGATACATTAAGGGCCGCCGAAGACATTATGCGAGCCTGATGTGCATTCACTCCCCACAAAGATGGTTGATGAAGTTGAATGTTTGATACGTCTCTCAGGAAGCAACGCCGCGAACTTTATCATTTACCTTCTAATTGAACCGCAAAATCAGGCCGCGTACCTTACATTTCTCTCAGCTCTCTAGGATGTACCTCTTCATAGTAAAGTATCCGTTTGTCTGATGCTGAAAATTTCTTTCTTCGACCACTTATCTGCGCAGATCATGTATTGTATTATACTAACTATTAACTCAATATTAATTAAGTTACCGGTCTTTCTTTTAAAATACGAAAATTACGGATTGATCATGTTATTGAGTACTTGCTACCGCTACCATTTATAATTATCTCTTTCATGGCTATTCAATATTTTAGTGTGGATTTGGTGTTCACCAACTGGTTGATGATGTACCTATCAGATCGTGAAGTGGTCGATTTTCTTTTGAACGCAATGCGATGGTTGCGACCTGACGGCTATTTGCATCTGAGAGAGAGCTGTTCTGGACCAAGCACCGGTCAGATTCTGCGTGATTTGATCACAACCACCGGTTAGATTCTATATGACTCATTTTTTGGTACCATAAAGAACGATGGACCTCCCTATCTGAAGGATATCCTGCCGGTTAGCAGCTTGTCCGAGGACTGGATTCCTTGTTTCTGCATTTCAATTTCAGATACATGTTCTGTGTATGCAGACATAATCATGTATGCGTGCGTAAGCTCCAGTGCATGCCGAGGGTATTTCACAAATAAGTTTTATAAAAAGTGTATAAAAAGTGTGCAATCAAGTTTATGTGAAACACAAAGAAGGTTTGTATGAAGTCGTCCTCTTTAACAATAAGGCTGCTTGTCTCCATGCGGCGTTGATATTCTCGTCTACACAAGTTTCCCGTGGAAATCGATTTTTTCCCACAACTAACAACTAGGATCGGACGCTTAAGGTTAAAGATATGTGGATCACTACCGCCTCAAACGGTCTGCTTCGTTTACGCACCGACATCACGCTGTGATTAGGCTGAGTGGAATTGTACTATATGAATTTAGACAAGTTTTAAAGAAAAGACTACTCATTCTTTAAGGTCAAGACTGGAGACTGTAACGCTAAGATTGGGCCCAAAAGAAAGGCTGAAAAAACGCACACTGTGACCGATGATTAGAATGAAACTAGCAGAGTGAGCGGCTGTCTGAGCTTATCATGATAACCAAGACCATTTATGATAACTGCAATTCCAGAAGCCCCAGTCTCATCTTTCCACATGGCAATCTTCCAATGGAAAATTCTCTAATAAAATAGGCAACATTACAGTATCGGCTTTATGGAGGGTGCCATTCATCAATAATCAATAATTCTCGGTTATTCACGATCTTCACGATAGTGCAATGAATGCCGAAAGTTCAAAAGCTATCAAGAGGCTCATTTCTACAAGAAAATTGAGTTAGTACGCCAGAGCCGTATCGTACGAGCCCTTGATAATCGCTACTCACGAGTGCAAAACACCTTAAAAAAGAGTAGCTTAAGAAGAAAAGACAGTCTAACGGTTTGCTAAGCTGAAGAAATTGGGTAGAGCATTCGCAACGTTTCCGAAAATTAGCAAAACTCAGAAGGCGATACTGCCGAAACGTCAGCTAGCGTTGTATTGTATTGTGTTTTTTTATGGAAGTAAATGTATGCTGTTTAAAGACCTCGCGATTGCTGAACAAGAAAACGACACATTCATAGCCAAAATCAATCAAATGCCTAGTGCGGAGCAGATATGATTTCTGGAAAGGCAAAAAAGAAAATCATTCACTACGGTCTTGATGTTTTCAGCAACTGCTTTCCCATGCCTTCACGTAACATTAAGGAAGATGAGTATGTCATTCCATAGGTTCTTTCTTTAAAAGTTTGACGTACTATCTCGCATGCCATTCAGTTCGGTTAGAATAAGAGCCGGACTTCTGAAGAACCTTCAACCAGTCCACATCGACACACTGGCTTGGCTCCTCACACGTTAGCTGTTGGAATCCTAATGCACGTTCCCATTCAAGATAGGTTTAGGAAGACCATTTCGTTGCATAGAAAGAAAGATTTTCACGACATTCGTGGTACTAAATTCAAGTAATCTTGAACGGTGTTGAACACTGGACGCAAGCCGGCTATTCGAGCAAACATTGTTTCGAAGGAAGTGAATATAATTACGAACGGCCACATTCAATCAATATCGACTATTATTGAGGTATCACTAAAGTATAGACAATTAGTTTATCCCACTTTCATCAGCTTAAAGTCCTTTGAGTCACCTAAAATTGGAACACTTATAGACGTTCTGGACCAATCACTATGCAGTGCGATCTGTAATGATCTTCAATGAACTGTGCAAAAGTTTTACAACCAAAGTATCACCATTCTGAAACTACGTTGACGTTGAACTAAAAAGAGGTGTTCAACATTTCCACACCAACTTGCCAAATTTATATTTATTTATGAGATCTTATAAACTGATCTTCTTAAGCTGACGCGAGGTTGGTACAGATCTTCGTTGTCGTTGTCGTTGTCAAATTGCCAAATTTATTTTCAGCCACGTACGTGAGTGTTATGCGAAAACTGGGGCGCATTTCGCTCTGCTAATGACACCATTTTTCTAACACAAAGCATTAGTTGGATAAAACAAATGTTTGCCGACTTTGATTACACCTTTGGAAAGGTTGGTCTTCGACTAAATCTCACAAAAATCATGTTTATAAAGAGTGGACTAGCTTCCTATGCCGCACTAAGTCTCAACGGAATGAATATCTCAGAGTGCTCCAGGTACGTCTATCTAGGTCGGAAAGTCAGCATGATAAGGGACTTAGCCCCAGAGTTGAACTGGAAGAAGCCAGCGTTTTGGAGGCGTTTAAAAGTATTCGAGATGCAATGAAGAGCAACATGAATACGCGACCTCCACCCACCATTTCGACCCCATGAAGCTTTGAGGCTTACCGCACGCATCGGAAGCTTATTCGATAGATAAGCAAGATAAATGGTCACTCAACGTTATTGAACCAGTGGAGATGACGATGCTAAGAATATCCCGTATCATTTAACTGATTGGGGTGTTCGGCACTCCGACCTGCGTTAACGGTGGAAAATCAAAGACGCTGTTATCCAGGCCAAGGTATCGGAATCGGATGGATCTAGCACTAGTGCTCTTAAACGACAATTAATGGACAAGTGCAGTTAGCGGCTGCATTCTTCGGAATGCCAAACGCGCAAAAGGAAGACCACCGATCTGAACGTCAGAGTTATTCAGAGAAATCTAGCAAGAAGGATGTGATGCTCAGCGATTTTTTTGAGAAAGCGGAGCCAACAAGCTAGTTATTTTGCGAGAAGGGAAAATGGAATATTAAGTGGAGCGAGTTCGAGTCAATCGACGAACGACAAAAAGAAAGGTGAAACAGATGGTACCATGGAAAAGGATAAAGTGTTGGGTGTTCAACTTTATCTGGCTCCGTAAAGGTGACTAAAATGTATGATTGGCTCATATAGTAATTTCTCCTACCGATGTACCAAGTCGGAATTTCCTTTCTTTTTTGAAGATGTAGTAACAGTTTGCAACCAAGGAGGGATGGAGGTTTTAGTTTGCTCAGGTCGGAGAATCGAGCTGGAGTTTACTATATGACGATTCTAACTGCTTCGTGGCATGTACTCGTCGGAGCAGAGTATTATTTTTCAATCAAAGATAAATCAACTGTGAGCCAATCGGTGTCGTTCATGTAGACGTAGATGCACTCAGTTCAATACAGATAGGCTTCTGAAGAAAAAAGTTTTCTGGGTGAGCATCGGACTATCCGAACTAGGTTTCGTCTTCTGATTTATTATTTCGGTTGTTTTGTGGTATTTCATTTTTTCACTAATATGGAAATTTTTAGGCACTGCAAAGAGTACCACGCTTCATTCATCTGTCGATGTCAATCCTACCCATTACCGTTATTCGTCACGTTATATTAAGGTACTCTCGGGTGATGATCGTTTATCATCTTAAGTGTCTCGGTTATTTTGCGCAATTTCACATGCGGTTACGGTAGCTGATAGATGTAAATACTGTACTATACAGCTTCTTCGTGCCATACGATATCGTGACGGCTGCGGAAAAGTGTGGCGTTTTGACGTTCAATGGAGTTGTTCGGTTCCAACCTATATTGAGGTAAAATAAGAATGAATGGTTCACAGGCTTGTTAAGGTTTTTAAAAGTGTATGCGAAGAAAATTTTATTAGATTTTGACAGAAAAATTTTGATATGTTTTCGTCAAAGTATAGCGAAGTGAAAATGAGGTGAATTTCAACTTAAGTTCCACGAAAATGTTCGTCTGTTAACTTCCATAGCAGTAAGAGTTAGGCTTTCGCTTCGTTACAATAGATCTTGGTGAATTCGATAAGAAACTAGCTGAGAGACAGGCGAAACGAGGAACCAGCATGGTGTGGTGGTGAACGCGTTAGCCCCCGGAAAGGGTAATAGTGTGTTCGTTCCCCAGCGCAGATACCTGTGATCCAGAGTTTTGCAAATATCTCTTTGTGGTTGTATTTTTGTATTTCGCTTTGCATCATAGTGTGCCATAAAAAATTGTAGTAGGCAACAAATAAAAACGTAAACAGTGAGTTCTTAGCTAGTTTCTTTCTTGTTGTAACGTCAGATGTATTCATTATTCAATATGTTGCGAGCCTCATTTACAATTTGTTCATTGCGTTCTATTTTAGCATTAAAACCTTGTAGCATGTCTTTTTTACCTAGTTTTACTTCATTCCGAAATTTTTAAAAATATTTCTACTTTTTCAACTGAGTGGCCGTCTTCATAAAAAATTGTACGGTTTCGAGTATAATTCTGATTTCAGTTGCAACTTTTAGTTAAACATGCTTTCGTTCTCCGAAATTTTGAAATAGTCGTGTTATATTTCTCACAAGTCGTCATCAAAAACTAACGACGAATATTGCTAATCGAATGCGGATTTGAAGGTTTATAAGTAAGATCCTGCCTGGGGCGATGGTGATTTCTAACAGAGGGAACCTTTAGATGGAAGCTTCCGGATTGAAAAGCCGAGCTCCTTCTCAGCTTGGAAGGTAACGTTCGTTGCATGGGCATCCCACTTAATATTACAGTTCAAAACCCAGGGATATCAATCAGTAACGATGTTGCGCTGATCCTTTAGTGAACCGTCTCATGAAGCCCAATTCCTAGTTCTTCACCGATTTTCTGCAATTACCACTTCATTGGAATATTTTGAGAGAACTCTGAAGTGAGAAAGAAAAGTTTAACAACGACTTGTGCAAAGAAGTTAATTAAAAGGACCGGTCGATAGTAGCAGTAGAAAGGATTGAAAAAATTTGTAAAGTATACCTGTTCATAGATAATTTACAGCGGTCCAACAACTGGCGTCAAGTACACTGGTTGACAAAAAAGTTACCGGCCGAGGGAGATGTAGTGACGTCCGTCAGCCATTTGTTGAATTTGTTCAGGTCTGAAGGCTTTCACTGGGTTTATGTGTAAATCCATTTAATACCTTTATTTAATGACCTATTGTACTCATCTTGTACCTTGACATCTTTCCTCTCTTTAGCCGGAATTCACTAATACATTAACTCATATATAGACCATATATGGTTCACATCCACTATTGATATTAGATTAAATTAGACTTAAGATAGTGTCAACAGTCGCAAAAACTTTTCTTGCCGTTTCTTCCTAATTCGAAACTGTACAAATTTAGTGAAAGTACATTAGTTCGTACCGAAATAAGAAGCTTGTCGTCGTCAGTTTCTTAAAATATATTTGCTACCTGTATGAAAATCCCAAATGGTCGTGGTCGGAGGCGCTTTGCAATATACATGGGATCGATCCTCGCTCCCAAGACTCACCAAGCATCCCATCACTCCGGGGTAGACAAATTGGTACCAGATTTGTCTGTCTGCGAGGATAGCAACACTGGTTCTATACATCAGTAGGCTACATCGAATCATTACAAAGGCCAGATATTCAATCAATCACCTCCAACGATTCTTAGTGATGTCGAATGCACGGCGCACCTCTTAAGGATTGATCATCGCCAACAGTTTTATCCTTTATCCTTATAGGAATCCCATAAGTTTTGGTATAGCTACTAGTCAATTTACTGCAAAAACTTTTTGCTTTTATAATCAATTCTCCTTACTGATATCTTTCAAATTATGCACGCTTTTTCTTCAAAATCAAGAAACATTCACAGGAGAAATTCCGCACTTTATGATCACAAGTGGTAATCAAATCTTCTAGATTGGAAGCATATTTGTCTTCAAGGATGTCAGACATTTCTGTCATTAATTTATTCATAAATGGACATTGTCTTTATATACTTGGATACTGAAAGGCTCGTCATCACAGCCAGTAGGAGCCCCAGCACCTACCATTTTGTTTCATCATATTGCGATCACTTTCCATGGTGATTATTCGCTTTGAGTTTGTCAACCTGTATAAGCATGACATAAGCAAAAGATAGTCTACCTATCCCATAAGTGATCACCTGAGAGAACGCATGCATTCTCTTGAAATCCATCCCACTAATCTTTCCATCTACCCGTCGTCTTTCCTGAGACGCAGTTGTGCCCAGTGGATGGACTTTATATTTCTGCTGCGGGCATTTTACGGATAGCTGCGTTTACAAGGGCGTATCCATGCATGGTGCGTGTGGCGCAGTGGTTGGAGGCGATCCCATAGAATGGAATCCCATGGAATGGATCCCGGCGTCCATGACCCACCAAGTGCTCCATCCCTCCGAGGTCGGCAGATTGGTACAAAACTTGACTGGGAGGATAGCAGCGCTGGCCCGATACATCGGTAGTCATTGTGAAGGTCAAATATGCATGCAGTTAGCTCCAATGATATTTAATGAAGTCGAATGCATGGCGCATCCCTGAGGGATTGATCAACGCCGAGAGTTTTATCCTTTCTTATCTATACATGCGTGCGTGTTCTGGTTCATGCGGAGTGTACCATATGAGCCAATTCTGCCAAAATTCTACAATCAAGTGACAGAAGTATATGGGACGCGGTTAAGAGTCGTCTCCAACAGATATGCTCCCCCATCCACTCTGTGGATGAATGCAAGCCACCTGTGAGCATACATATCCCCCACGTTCAGAGCTCATTAAGCTACATGTGGTGTTAAACAGAGTATGACAATCTTAACTCTTTTATTTACTGCCTTTTTCTTCTTAGTGGCAGGTTATGTTTCGAATTATAAGAGATATTTGCAAAACTCCGGACCACAGGTGGGTCCCGGATGGTGTAGTGGTGAAGTGCGCTGCTCCCCGGTAAGGACGACAGCGCGTGTTCGTTCCCCACTGCATACATTTGTGGTCCGGAGTTTTGCAAATATCTCAGCATTTCATAAGAGTAAGACAAATTGGTTTTTTTTCACTGACCCCAAAACATCTCCCGATTCGGCAGCTTGAGGTAGGACGAGTACGCAGGAGCTGCGAAAATCTAGATGCCATTTTACCTTGCATATATTGCGAAGGACTAAGGTGACGATGGTATCTACGATACACGTTCACTTGCATCATATTCGTCTGTTATGGACCTGGTCGTTCATGCAGGAAGGATAAAGAACAATATCATTCGATTGGCTGAGTCGAGAAAATGTCACAACCCCAATGTCACAGGAGTGTACTCTACAAGCTTTTCACGAAGATTATCCTCTCGCGTTAATCAAGGACATTGGAAGAGGTGCAACGAGTCGAGCAAGCAGGATTTCGAAAAAAAAATTCTGCTGTATGGACCACATCCAAACCGTGTCTAGAGTCATCGAAGTTTGCCGGGAATACCACTTGCCTCTAGTACTAACCTTCGATGACTACGAGAAAGTGTTTGACAGTGTCGAAGCGAATGCAATCCTACCAGCGCTAGTCGACCAAGGAGTGGAGCCGTCCTACATAAAGACTCTGTCCGACTGTTATTGGAATTGCACTAGGAAAATACAACTTTTCCATCGACCTCTTACAATCACCTATCACCTGTGTCACCTGTAGTCCCGTTGATCGTCGAGCGACTCGAGCGGGCGCCATTAAATCTTCCATTTTTCCCTGTAGCGTGCAAGAGTAGCCCATTGGGTCCTGCTCGCTTTAGGGACTCGTCGAGCATCATTTCTTTCTTTAAGGCTCTTTGTGAAGAACTCTGACCGTCGGGTTGGTGGCATTCCCACAGTACGTTTGGCTTGGAATGTTTGGTATTGTGAGGACAATGTCATCAGCAAAGCGAAGATGGCGTAACTACCGACCGTCGATTTTCACTCCCATAT